CCTCTGCACACTGCGAGAACTTAAGTTGACTGAATTTTTTTTGTAAGAGCTCCAACGGGAGTTAAGTGCGCCCACCTTTGGGAAACGAACGACTGGTTGCTTCCTGTCATCATGTCGTACAACGTCCGTAGGCGTACGGTTGCTCGCATGAACCAACACAATGGTAATAATCTGTCCTATTAATTAGTAAAAACTTAAGGACAAACGGATGTTAATAAGGTATCAAAAATAGATGCACGATGCCTTTATCGCCTTCATTGTTATATATATATATAAATTATTTTTATCAGTGTCGCATATGTAATGAAAGTTGATGGAATAAAAACTTTTGGCCAATAATATATGCATACTATATATCATTAAAAGGAAGCAAAAAGAAATCTAGTTTCCTTTTAGACGCTTATCTTCGCCATTATCAACCAGTTTAGAATCACCATAATCCATTGTACTTTTCGTGTTTGCGTTAGAACAATCTTGCCACGAGACTATCCCCTAGACTAGAATGTGACTAAACGTACACGGTAAAAATACACAGCAGTTGTCCAATCTAACGAATCTTGATTGATTAAAGACAATCACAAGCTCACAGGAGTTCGGGAGCCGTTGTGAAGAAGTACCGCCAGCTGTCTCCTTCCTATTTATCAAAGTAGTTCGAGTGGGAGTCATTAAGGAAAACCTTCGAGCTTGGATAACTTCAAATTGTTTTTAATCATTTCGATTTTTACTTGGCCGAATTCACGGCAGAAGGTACTTCCAGAGCGCTTTAAAAACAATTATCATGCCAGAAACGCGTTAGAAAAATGCGTTGCATTTCTCTGGTACTTGTTACTCTGGTACTTCATGGTACTTGACACCGGCATGACGACTTTAACTATAATTATTGCTATTATAGTATAGAGATGGTGCAGGTGCGAGATACTAAAGTCAAACATCTCAAATGAATCAAGCGTATTCACGACACGACGAATGGCTCACGAGAAATCTTTCGATCGAACGAATGTGGCTGTCGCAGACGGCCGTAGATCAGCGACTGTTATCCCCAGGCGAATTATCGCTTGGAAGTACCCAAAAAAGAGTGTGATCAATTGCTTTCGGAATGGTGTTTCATAACAATGGACAAGTTGGCGATCGTTTTTAAATGCGTTCGTTTCGAAGCTATTTGCCCCTTTTTAGCTCTAGTGGCACCCTTCGATATGTGTAATAGGACGGACTTTTTTCTTCTCGATGAACACAAGCAGCTCTACGGACACTTAGATACGACTGCGTATTTATGATCATGCTTTAAAGCTTCTATCGTATATATATATATAGTAGGTACATACGATGCGTGCAAGTGGCAAAACCTCATTTCTTAGTTCTGTTGCGGCTGTCATCAACCTTACAACCATCTAGCACCTACTAACCTATATGTCGAGCGGCGTTTTTCGCCAATTCTCCCCTCTAGGAACGTAACGCCTCCGAACGTTTGCACGCGTCCTCTTTGCGAGTTCCTTAGAGAATTCAGGAATTAAGGCTCTTAAAATTATTCTCGATTTTGGTAAGCACGTTTTGCCTCTCACATCTGCGGAATACCGAATATATCCACATGGACCTCGGTTGATCCTTAGTCCTCGTTTGCCCTGTCGGGCTTACCAAGCAGTTATAACAAACTGAAACAAGTGATATTCGCAGGCTTACAGACAATTGCAAAGACTGACATTTGCACAGACCTGCCAGGCATATCATCATTAAGTTGTTGGCAGTTCCCTCACATCTTGGTCGATCCCCTTCTTGTTCCCACCCCCTCGCAGGATGAATCCTCATAATTACAATTTTCCACTACCGGCAGAAGCATATATAAAGATCCACGCAACTTTACAGTCACACAGACACGCACCTGCCGATAGACATCTGCGTTAACGTCCGAAAGCGTCGCCTGCAAATACAGACAAGTGAGTGGCTAAGCATCAACACTGATTTTTTGCACCGACTTCTGCCGACTATGCCATCAAAATATAAACAAGCTTTGAAGCGGTTTGCGGTCAAGAAGACGACCCTCCCTAAACAACTTCTTGGCTGAGCCGCAACAATCGTTCCTAACATTACTGCTGTGTCCACGACTGTAGCTGTTAGTGGCTGAAGCCGCTGATCGTCGGCCATGGCCAAACTAAGAGCCAGCAAGCCCTAACGTTGCCTGGTCAGTCTGTTACCCGGATTATGCATTGCAGCAGTGCGTTATGTGAGTTTATACCAATACGACTTGGCATTTTCTTTGTTACCGTACTGTCGACTATTGCCCGACAGCTCCCGGTGCTATAGTCGGCGTCGATTAAGTTCGGAGTTTCTTTCTGGCTGGCAGTGCTACGCTGTCTGAGGCTAAAGCGTTGGGGACTAACGACCAAGTGGGTCCCTTCCAAGTCGCTTATTAGAGCAGTTTCAACGAGAAGCATGACTGAGCCGTCGAACGACCCCGTTGACTCTTGGTAAGCGGTGCTAGGGCAAAGTTTGTGTGTCAGCGAAACGATACATTACCAAATAAGCTGGGTTCGAGCGCGAACTGTTGGCTGATCCTGCCCGTGCTTACAAAGCGGAACACTGTAAACGTGTGAAACTAGTTCTAGTCATTCTAATACAAAGTTTAGCTCTAATGTTGTTTCGCTTTATATCGTTCTTAATTTCTCTACTAACAGGGCTTTTCAGACACCGTTCGCGTCTTATATGTTACCATACAGTATACACACACTGACTTTGTGATCCTGCTAATTCGGCAATATGGATGATTGCCGATTAGAAGCTTTCATAGAGCATCTCATCTAATTGGATGAACGAATAGCTCGTGGTGGATAGTACCCGCGTAACCCATTGTTTAAAGGTTCGATATAATAAACCAATTTTAAGCGGATTTGACCTTCTATTTTTCATAATTAATTCTGCAATTGTTATGTTTCGATCTGCGCTCATTCGTATCATAGTAGGACCTTTAGTAAATCTAAAGCAGCATAATAGGCGCAATGCGCCACGTGTAGCACCGAAACGACGTGTTGAACATAAGACCGAAAATAACTGGAAGGATTTCCATTCGAAGAAGACTATAGCGATGAACGGTCAGATAACTTGATGATAACAACATCTGTACCGGCACGACGTCGTATGCATCAATTCAGACGACGCTTAACACACGGCTGCAGGTAACGACAAAGAAATGGTACTAAAACATATGATTTATAGCATAATTAGGTATGGTGACACTACGACTTGGTCCAAACAAAATACAGCCTTCATTAGAAGTAAATTATTTTAGGAGACAGGATTTGGAGAGAGGTCTAATTTTTCAATCATCGTTGATTGTAGAAACGTTAGCCATGAGACTACGCTGGACCGTTCGCAAACTCCATCTAGGCATCATTCTTCAAATATCAATAAAATAGTTGTAACGTTTCTAGTTACGTACAAATATAATTTTGTTAAAAACAGTGGCCTTTACAGATCTCTTTGTTACATCCAAACTTTACTTGTCTGACAATATGCCGCTATAACATTATCTGGCGGACTGAGATTGCAGTTGGATTCTTCAGGCCTATAGAAGGCGTTCGTTTGTAATTGTTATCCAGTGAATATGAAACACACAGACTTCACACGTAATTTTAACGAGTCTGTTTCTTCTGTTCTGCACAGTATCAGCAACGGTAGTGAGCAGCTAACACACAACTGTAATACAGCAAGAAATTCCCAAAAATTAGAACTATAATAGAAAAGTTGATAGGTAGATTTACGTCCTCAAACTAAAAAACACAGCTACCGTATCGAGCGGTTAACGAGGCTGAGAGATGTGCTACGATTACCTTGAGCCATGATCGTAAATCGTCAAACCATTAACGCGATGTGTTGATTTTTTGGTAGCTTCATCTACCTTTCGTATTGTTACTTTTAAGGCTGCGCGGTAATTGTCTGTTTCTTCTGAAGTAAAGTTTTGACAGTGCGTAATGAAGAAGACAAGATACGTCAAGCCGCGTCATACCAAAGCAGAGAACGTAGACAGTTGTATTTCTTTCTTTGGACCTACTCCTGTTACTTTCGTTTAAAATAGTTGCTGCCAGTACTTCGTTAGAGGTTTGCTAATGTTGCTTTACTTCAGCCGCCAGCATCTGCGTGGCTCGGTGGGGCTCAGACTGACGACCTCGCAACACTAGCACCACCCTAGTAGCAGATACCTTGACGTGAAGGTACATGATGGTCTTAAGAGCTAACCTGTAAAGTATATCGACCCTATATGTGTTATTCCGAGCTGGCTACGGAGAGGTCTTGCCAAACTTGCCCGGGGCTTCTTCAACAGATATACGAGGTCCCAACGATAACTATATATATATATAGTTATCTCCCATTTCTCTTTTTTCGTAGATTCAGTATCGCCAACGCTAACACTTGAATCAGTGGCGGCGGCGCTTTGTTTCTTATGGCTATTACGGCGGCCGGCGCACTTGAATTTAGCTGTTAACAATACAGAACACTAAAACGCTAAGGTATATAGATTCTAAATGAATTTGTCTAAATTTCTAATATTCCTATGATGACAATGAGAGTACGTATATATGTATATATATATATATAGTCTCACTGTTATTTTTTTTCATGAAAATCATTATTTACCTATTTAATATGACACTGAGTTCTTGATTGAATATTCCTTGGCTTATGCTAGACTCATAGAAGATATTGATTAACATTATTGTCAAAGAGTTAACCATTATTCGTATGCAGCCCTAGAGAACATATGCCTCTAGAACGAATGAAGTCCTCATCGATCCGGAATCACCCTTCAAAAACACAATAAACGCAGCATTGACAATGCGTATAAAAAGACCTTGTGTCATTAAAATCTATCTGTCGGATGCTATGGTTTTAGAAACGTTAAATTTAGGCTTCATAGCCGCTACATGAAAATACGTATACATAGTTCACCTACATGGCAATTTTTCGCTAATTGGATTTTTTTATACTCAAAATGTATATAATTATTGTAGCCCTTGCTGGATATGGAAAGCGTGCCCCCACCGCCGCCGATGCGGGAGCGATTCTTTCGTGAAGGTAACGATGCCGAGTCGTTCGACGTGAAGGGAGGAACTTCTAGGGCTTACGCCTCCAAAGGCCTCGAGCACCGACAACAGCAGCAGCATCAACACAGGTAACAATTGACACTGTTGCACCGTTTATATTAGGAAATAGATAGATGCTGGCGTTACTCCAAACTAAAAATTTTAAATATTTAATAATCAATCTCCAAGGAGGCTCTTTTCGCTAATGAAGTCTTACTTTCGCACAGCGTTTTCTTTGGTCTGAGTTTGACCGAGGCCACACATCTGTTGATTTAGTCAGTGAAGCGCAAGCGCTGTACAGATTAGATCACTTATGTTAGAGCGACGCTTTCGGATGTCGCTTTGGCAACGATAGAACAAGTTGAATGTTAAAAGTATAGCCTAAGGACTTATGCACGGGACGTAAAATATAAATTTCTGTTTGACGACGAACCCATTGTAATTGGCCTAACTTATTCTCCTGCAAACCTACACCATTTGACGGACAGAATAAAACTGGCCTATAGTGAACCAATGAGTTCTTCCCACAGGTATTGTAGATTGCAAACACTGAAATACATGTATAGACGGTGAATAGAAAAAATAATGGTCATACCACAATACGATTTTTAAATGCACCGTAAAATTACTAGGCCAATTATACCACCTCTAATAATATTGGATGTCAGTAAACAAAATTAGAGCGCAGTATACTTTTGAGGAGTTTGTGAATATCATACATACACGTATAGATGACTCCTCGGTGATTACCGTGAATAGATGAAGTATCAACTAATGGGTTTCATATGAAATTTCCCGCTAAATCTAGGCAAAGTAACTGTTCTATGTCGAAGCAAATTCAGAACTCAGCTCAACCGCAGGTACCGAAACGGAGGGCTAAGCTCGACTACGTCAACATGGGTGAGTTTGTTCGACGCGTACGAAAAAAGCGTTCAGCTGCGAAGGACGCGACTCTTCAGTTGAAGGTTTCCAAGAGGCATTATTGTTTTCGTTGTCGCTATTGATCGCGTCCATCCAACAGAAAGTGGAACAATAGAGAGATACAACACGCAGCGAAATAGTGGACGCAAATGTGACAATGGTGCATTGACTTTATAGTTTAACTCTCTACATATTACCGATAGCGTCTCGTGCAATCAATTAACGAAACGGTAGAATCCGCTGTCTCGCTGTCTAAATAACAAATACAAAACAAGCAAACTGTCAATATGTTGAGATACCAGATACAAACCAAACGTAAATAAACAAAGCGAATTATCTGTTTAACAGAACTTGACATTTCTGATCTCCCTACGAGGACCGGTCTGGTCGGCAAATTACTTTCAGAATTCCACAGTGGGGTTCGATTCGCAGATGATCTTGTGCAGGTGTTCAATGATTTTCGTTTAGTGAATCAAGAGTCTAACAATTTTCGAGGAGACAATCAGTTGAAGGACGATGATGATTGTTTTGGAGTTAAAATTGAAGAAGATGATGTGGACGACTGTGACGATGATACGCTGTTTTATGGGTACTGCCCTAATCAAAAACTATCAAAACTTCATACTGAGGAGATGGCGCTTGAAAAGGACGCTGTATCTATGACAAGCAAAGACAATGAAGAAGCCTGGAAAGACTACGTTAACATCAAAGTTTCAGAGGGTTTGTCAACAGCATTCGTGTTCTTGAGATTGCACGTATCCTGGCTCATCCTGCATGGGCGATTTCAGCGGCACGGAGATGCGAACCTGTAGAATATGCATCTATCAGTGTGTCAGCATGATGCATGATCCGATTTTATGATCAAGCTATACACTGTCAGCATACTTCCTCGTTTTCAGTTGAAACTGATCCAAAGATATACAGCATTGATAGTTATTTTTGCCTAAGTCTAAACTTGTGGAGGCGTTTCTCAATCAAACTATATCAAATACGCTATAAGTGTCCTGGGTAATTAATACAATCTACATTTCAAGTACTTTCATCCATCTTCGCGCTTGAATAACGCACGTTTTTCGTTATATCGCTAGCTTTTTGTATGACCGGCTGATTCATTGAGACAGTTCATCCTGATGGATGGCCATCTGCAAGTCAGCATCTTGGCGCGAATCGTGTAACGTCCTTTTTGCACAAGGGTTTACCATAAGGGTTGCCAAAGCCGTGGTTATCTGTTCGTTCGTTTGTTTTTTTCGGATAACATTTTACATCACAGGTTCACTTCGGAAACTTCGGATTGGTCGGAGCGCCGCGACAACTATAGCCGCCTCATTTTGAAACAATCGACGAAATAAAATATTTAGTACGGGGTGAGTTATTGTTGCGTACGTCTGTGAGAACTAGTGTACTTTAAGAAAGTATCATCGTCGTCACCTCGCGATGGCCTCAGATATAGTACTTGACGTTGCATTGCCACGCAGTATTTACAACTCATTTCATTGAGATTCAACACCTCTTCCACATTGTCTGCTGGCGTTGCTTTTTCTTTGGCCATCTGAGTGTTGAGTATATTTTCTGAATAGCGGCAACCCATGTGGCCGTGACCCGATTCTCCTGTGGGCGACCCAAAGCTGACGCACGAATGGACCAGGCAACCAAGTGAACATCGGCTTCGAATGATTTCTCATCATAGCTGCTATTGCCAGTTACCACCATCGGCGTTGTGAAGGCATCGTCGTGCTAATTAAAAGCGTTAGCGTAATACGGCCGGCTGTGGACCGGAGTTTAGTACAACGTCTTTGTCCTGAAATGCGCACTACGTAAAAATGCGCAAGATGAAAAACTACATAAAATAAACGCATTGAAATCTAAGATTACGACCTGTGTGTCACTTTATCTGTCTGTCATTATCGTTCATGTTGTTTTTGTGAAATCTCTATATTGTGGAGGCACTACAATTATTTTTATATTAAAACAGGGTTCTTATAACAGTTGGTCAGATTGTAAAGATGTCACCACTTGGTGCCAACGGACATACAGATCTGCGTATGTAAAAGTTCAAACTAGCGCAAATGGTTTGAACCTCTTTGCTCACGTATTTGCAAAATCCTTCAAGAAGAAAAGGTAGCTAGCTAGCTAGCTATACGTGCGCACATACAGTGAAAGTAGATATGCGGCTAGTTTCGTACCTTTTGACCACAAAAGGCCCTTGTAGTATTGATTTTACATAAGTAATATTTATAAGAGGAAAGGCTAAGTACTTAATTCGATCGTACGGTTCCAGCAGGCGTCAACCTTTAGTTCATTGAGAAGTACATAACTAAATAAAAGTCTGCACAAATATTCATTTTATAGTCCGCTATTAGGTTAATCTTTTTCATTGTAGACCTTGAAAGGCCGTGACTACTTACCGAGTCCACACATGATTGGGAACAAGTTTTTTAATTTTTCGAAAGAACCGGTTGACTACTTTGTGCTGAAAATTGCGGTCAAAGGCATAACAGCGAACTTCAACAAAAGATCTCATGCACTGTGAATTTCAAGGTATATCTCCTCGCGGCATTTGGGGTAATAATGCTTATGCTTCATATCTGGATGTGGACCCAAATGTGAACGAAATATCGTATTGTGTTTAACCTCTTTAACACATTATTGTATAACGGTATTAGTTGAAATAATAAAAATTACGTTTTTAGTGTAAGAATAACTTTATTTAAAGCTGCAAATATCGGTGATGGCCGATCGATGCGGGTCTATTTTTTTTTTTTTTTTTTTTGCAATAGTGGTTTCGAATGAATCCATTGACTGTTTTATAATAAGACACGATCGCTTTTCCTTTTTCCTAACACCTTAACGTCGGTCCTAGACCACACTAGAGTTGCCGTTGTTGTAACGCAATGATTTGCTTGTCCAATGTCTGGGCTTTGGCTAAATGCATATTTCTGAAATAATCTATGTGCACGACTATTTAATGGTGAAGTTGTGCATCTTCGTGTCTGCATCTTGATGAAAAGTGGACTCAGCAATTTACGTTTTCCCTTACTACGTTTTCTTTTAGTAGTCAATAATGTGGTTTGAAACGCGACGATGTTTTGTGATTAATTTCCTTTGCTACCGCTTGGGGTCGTTTCTATACGTTCGTTTCGATGCTCAGATGTTGGTAAGTGTATCGCGTCCCCGGAAGCGTCCGATTCGCCGATGCCGTCAGTTCAACGATGGAACTCTCCTGAAACGCTCCTTAGCGTTCTCATGGATGTCAACCATCACACACTGGTCGCTCTGCTCAGCCACGTAAGTCATATTTTGGTCTTTTACTTTGTATGTTTATGCATCAATATAAGCCATTGTATCGAACATGTGATAGTAGTACATGGTCTGCATTCGGAGGGAAGTCGAAACGACCTTTACATACGGACGAATAGTAAATAACGAGCTAAATATTAATAACAATGTTCCTTGCATAGTGATTGCTTTTTTAGTCCGCTTTCGCTGATATTCTAGTATAGTGAGTTTTAGTTATGTTTGCAACGTAAAACATTTTTACGTAAAACATAATCTTAGAATATCGATTTTTTTTTTATCCCGAAAAGCGTAAGGTGTGCCATAGGCATAGTACTCTTTTATGTGCTTTACCTTCAAGCAGGAGTACTGCGTCTCACGTAAAAAAGATGGCTTGTTGATCGCGTTCCGTTTCGTGTGATGTATATTCGATATAGGTCTCGACGTGCAGCCACGGGTTGCCCGTTCCCGAGATCGGAGCTTGTCCATCGGCGGTGTCTGGCAGCCCCTTAGGCTCGGCCGGTCTGTCCTGGGCAGATTTTACACTTACTTCAGAGCGTATCGCAAAGGGTCGTGATATATCGGTTTGTCGTGCACTACATTCTCCCACAGGCACAAAAGTCACCCTCATGGTTAGCTTCTTACGAGTTTGTGACTTATAACTTCCACTATATTAGAACCTTTTAGTTATTTGCTATGAACGAAAGGAACGAATAGCATTTTAACCTACTAATAGTGAAGTTCAACTTTACAATCATCAACCTCGTTTACATGATATGATAACATTTACACCTTTAGCTCACTCCACCAAAGGCCTTGCCGGTTGCTGATTTCCTTCTCGAGAGGTCTGTGGTGGCTTCAAACGGACTTCAGCCTGGTCACACAGTACTAGTGTTGCCCCAGTCACAGGTAAGGTTACCTTCCAACGCCTCGATTAGCCTAGCGCGATTATCGATTAATTGGCCCGTGAGTTTATAATTATATTAATACTTATTTTAAATGGGGTTAAAATAGAAAGGCCAGTGATTTAACAAACGCTGTCCCATATAGAGTAACACAGATATAACAGTTAAATTCGCTATGGTTCACATGTTCCCGCGACGCACATTAACGTTGAACATTAAAACGATCGCCTGATTCCAATTAATTGTAAAATGAGTACAGAAAAAGCTCATCACAAAAATGTTGTTCTAATAATTTTTATTGCTAAATGTAAATTTCAGATTCGCACCCTGGCTGAATTCTCTGTCCACTGTGATGCCCGCAGTGCCCTTTACGTAATGCTACAATTGTGCAGAGATTTACAAAGCTTGCAATCGCAAGGGGTACAGTATATCTTCCCCGAACTGCATTCATCGCAGTGTCATAAAGTATTAAGGCAATAAATCGATCGCTAGGCTGGTATCTAATAATTCACTGGTTTGCCCCGATGGCGGACGAATGATGGTGGCGATAGGCACCAAAATTGTTGGTTATTAAAAGCACGGTGCTTACTTTATTGCGTCACAACAGTAAACTATAACACGTTATGGTGTAAACAAAGACAGTAAATAGCTTTTTGTTTTACTTGACTAAATAGGTTAGTAGTTTGGTGGAGTCAGAACAGCGAATCCTGGTCGCATCCTGGGATCAACTTGCCTATCTGTTGTTCATGTACAAGAAAGCACCGCTCGGATCGAATTCTCATTACGTACCACTTCACAGGTATGCTCTTTAAAGGTTAGTGTACGAATTATATATTTTTAAGGGGTCGCTCGGACAACTAGTAAAGTTTGAAATAATTTCAAATGTCAGTGCGCTATTTCTTTCAATTTTACTTACTTAATGGTTCATGTTTAATTGTTTGGTGTGATAACTTCAGGTTTGCGTTGTCTATTCTCTCCGAACTTGAGCTGGCAAAAAAGGGCCAGCCATCGTCAACCCATGGGAATGGCAGTGGGCTCTTATCCAGTTTTGCACTCGTAGCCGATCTACTCCGTCGCAACGAACTCGAACTCTGTCAACGCGTGATCGAGTTTATCTTATGGGAAGCCCCGCGGAATCCGTTGGCGGGTCAAGACGCCGACCTGTCAGATGCCGCAGTTACGATGTCGCCACAAGGCCGTCAGGGGGGCCAGCGGGGAGTCGACAGTAATTCACAGAAGTCGGTGGACAAAATCGATGACGACAATGACGATATGGAGGCTCTTGCAGGAGCTTTGGGCCGTTGGCTGGCAGTACAGAAAGCACTTGCCTCACAGAAAAACTCTTGCGTGCGAGATCCGCACGCGAAGGCGGCTCAGTTAAAAATAGCAAAGCCGGCCACTCCCTGTAGCGTCTACCTGGAATATCAGCTTCAGTTTTTGACCTCTGCGACGGGACGCAGTTTAGCTGATACTCTGGCGGTTATCCGCCGTTACGAAAGCACAAAGCTCAATGAATCACCACACCAGTCTGAGGCCTCTCACGATGACAGCTTCGGCGAGGAGCTGTATGCTGACTACCGTTTTTGCTGACGGAGAGATACGGCTATAACAAGTTGATAAACCCAAATAACAAACAAATTGACCTGACCTACCAATGACATTTGCTATTTTTATATGTATTCAAGCTGATATTGAAACAAACAGCAGCGGTTAGGATTGACAAAGCCTAACAAGCGGCCTCCACATAACAACGCTCAATTATGATTTGCTGGGTTTAATTATCAAATCTCATTAAAAAATTACCACTTATGAATGTTATCGTTTGCTTTCTACCATACTAACATACTTTCGTATGTGATAACTTTTTTTTCATCAATGATGATACAATGTTATCTCATTCGCAGTGATGTTGTACCTATCATTGCTGCTATTGTTGCTATTGCTGTTGTTGTTAGCACATTCCGCCATAATGATGGGAATGATGATGGTGAGGATGGCGACGATGGTCATGGCTGTGTTGAGGATTCAAGTAAAGGAAAGTGGAGGAGGGGCTGACGGCGGGGCATACAAGATATGTGCGCGGTATTGCGCATGCACAAAAGCATATTCCTCTCCGTTTCGTACGAATAGAATAACCAGTCAAGTGTACGTTAGCGTTGCTGTTAATGTTTGTTGACTGAAGAGAATGAAAAATGACAAGATGTCTTTTACATCGCAATATGCAGATCCGGTAACGGACGATGCCCATAAGTCCGCTGCGAACTTCACGACGGTTGTGGTTGTATATATTTTGTATTATAGCGGTCAATAAAAAACAAGTTCGAGTAAAGTGTTGACTGATATATTAGTGGTCATAGTGCGCAGTAAAAGTTAATAGTTTTTGTGTAGGAGATTCATCGCTATTTTGATTTAGGATACGCTACATTCGGCGGCAGGACTATACTATCACAGCGCTCAACAGCAGAAGTACTTTTTGGTCGACGAAGCTATCTATATATTGAAATACATTAGATTATATCACAGCTGTTAACTTGGCATTAAGGGCGGCATTCTTCCTATGCGACGAAGTTTAGGAAGGGGTTTTTAGCTATTCCTCTTCCACATCCATATTGAATGTTACCGAAATTATTACAGATACAAGTGACAGATTTTCTCCCTCGAATAGTTTAAACTCTTACGTTGAAGATTTACACATAGGTAAAAACGTAGCGCAGCTGTAAGACTCTATAGTTACAAAAGAACCGCCGTATAATGAGGATATCGCCTATGCGAACAGTCGACACTCCCATCTAACGTTCGAAATTGCACGACTACGGTTGATTTAACTTAGATTTTCGTATCGGATTATTCAAATCCCTTTGTCACTATTAGACGATCTAGCTTTCGCTTTTAACGCAGACCAAGTGTGTCTTACGGTTTAGCACAAGGCGTGTTGGTAGGACACGTTGATCGTATCGTGGTAAAACATAGATGACGCGGTAACCGATGAAGTAAATCATTGATTGCACCTCAGAAGGGCAATACGAAGACACACAGCGTACAGAAGTCCTACGTAGCGGCCGAACCGATACGGATTACCTGATCACTACGAAAAATTAGCGTAGCATAGCGGGACGAATCCAATATTCTGTATCCTGTATCTAGGGTATGTATGTCTGCGCATTCAATTCATTCAAGTGAATTTTAAAAACACCGAGGCGTATGAGGGATCTGAATCGATATTCATTTATTATAACTAATCAGCAACTCTGATTTTCTCTTCTCTCGATTTCTTACGTAATTATTAACGAAATAAGAACACCTGTGACGTCGTTACGGGACTGAATCAATTTGGTCGCCGTCAGATTATGTTAATTCGGTAGTCCGTAGCGAATCCATTCCATCTTTTGACCTATGATAACTTGCCGCTTGTGTCCGGAATACCATTGCGGATCCCTCTCCGACTCGAAACACGACCAACTCTGAGAAAGAGTGGGTTAACCGTCGAAGCTGGGCAGCTTCTTACGCAGTCTTTCGCTTGGGCCATGACGTCCGTATGGTTTCGGTTTCAGACAACGCTTTTGCCTTATTGTGATGTGATTTTTGTTAACGTATCATAGACTGACTCGATTGACAAGTTAAACCAGCGTCAGCGAGTAGTTTCGGTTGACAATCAGTTATTAGAAAGGTATGTAACCATGTAGCAAATAAAAAAAAAAAAACTAAATATTGAATATATAAGTGTTCTAATAAGCGTTAGTAGCAAAATTCTATATTTACATACAGGTTTTGAAGAGTCGGGTCGGTTGATACGCTCATATGAACGTCAAAAACATTTATTTATGTTATTTTAGGGGAGCAACGCCGCTTCGTAGAGGAGGGTAAGCAAGCAATACAAATTATTTATAAAAAGTAATTTCAACGTTGCGGCAATGTTATTACTTAGCAGCGTTGGCTGGCTATTCATGGTCACATGCGTCGGAACGGTCTGGAGCTACGAAAAATCGTACGAAGAACGACGCTTTGCCGCTAGGTACGACGCATGCAACGATCATGCAAAATTCATTCTCAATGTAAAAGACGATGATGGAGATTGTCAGGTGAGACCTAGTTAATTAGAAAACCAAACTTTGGTAGCTCAGCAGTGTTTCTTAGTCACCGAGTGATAAACGTATTTTATGTATATTGTACACAATGCAAACGATATACAACTCATATACTTCGAATAAGCTGTGAGACAGAATTTAGCGCCGATCATATATGACCTCCTCAGGTTCTCTGCGGACCCTCGAGCGAACCAAAGCTGATTCGCTTGAAGGATAAAAGCGTATGCAGGACGGCTAACAAGAATGAGCCAGGTAATTCATTTGATAGTATTATAACAATTTTTATCGGAACTAAATGATCGTCGTCATTGAATCCAAGTGGTAACAAGCAACTCGAAATATATAGAATACGAGTACCTATAAGGTGCCAGACTCGTATACTTAATCGTCTATTCTTCACCGATGATCCGAACGCTGCCCGACACGACCGTGTCATCTCTCGCAGTCCAACAAAAAGCGAGTTCAAATTTTATCCGGACTATACTCAAGGTCTAACCAGTTAATCTATCATCATTGCAACGTTAGTCCCGTAATCCTGCAGCGTTTATTTCTCTTATCTTATCGCAGTTTTGTCCCTGTATGAAAAAACATTAGACCATTTCCGAGAGCGTCAGCGCATGCGTAATGAAGACATAGACAGATATGTTTACTGGTTCAACAGTATGATATTATTTGTGTTCTATAGCTAGGCTGATGATTTTGATACGATTCTTTTGTCATAGTAATTGAATATTGTTTGTCGTGATAGGGCTCTGTATCGTGGGTGTTTGCAACCCATCTTCTGGACTCGCTGATTCTGAACAACACCCATCTACGGGACGATCAACGAAAGCTGCCAGGTAACAAACAACAACTTTGAATAGAACTAGGACCTGTTAAGCACTCTAGGATAAATCTCGTAAGGCGAAAAGTGTTCGGGTAGTTCAAATCTATATAAATCAGCAGATAAATGCTTGCTTGGTAAATTAGCTACTCCAATAATATATATATATGTATATATATATATATATATATATATATATATATATATATATATATTAAATAAATCAATCAAAAAGAGATCTGCATATTTTAGTACATTTATAGGATTCGATTATGTTTAGCATCTGAGTAAGCGTAACTCACACTAATCTATTATGAATCAAACGTTTTAAAAAAGTATAACTTGAAATCAGCAATAGATTCATATCATTTTGATATAGTTTTCTTTAATTTAAGCTGATTCAGCTGGAAATGCTGGTTATTTATATTGCATCTGCCGCGAGTGACCTATTAGCGTGAATATTAGTGAATAGCCGACCGTTTTAACCGAGCGAATTTATATGCGTACTTCACCTTTATATATATTTCGTTATCATGTGGAAGATACTTTGTTTATTATATATTTTATTGTAACAATTAGAACAACGGTGAAGTTCATACCTTCCACACTCCCTCCAATCACTTCGGGTTTCACCTACTCATGGCAAAAATGGGCCACGAGTAAGCCTTTTACTGCTGCGCCCGTATCGACTGGTTCACCTCGCCAGGTGAGTTTCTGACACATGTTCAAGTTCCTTTGTGCATTAGGAATTGTTAACAGGTTTGAATTATATTGGGCTCATACGAACGTTACAGCTACGTAAAATAACAACTTTACCTAGACGTTATTTGTGTACATTTCAGAGCACACTCACGACACCGTTGCCTGGACGCCAGCGTAGCGGCAACGTCGAAAAAACGGCGTGATCCATAGCCCGTAAAGGCCTAATGATACGAAGTTCGACCAGTTTTTGATTAGCAGAAAAGATATACCTTTCCTAAAGCCCACAGCGTATACAGTAGAAGCGACAAGTAGTATAATAAAAATGGCAAATATCCTGATTTCGTGTTCTCACCTCTAAGAAGGTGTCAGTTTGATTTATCATAGTAACATTTTACTACTATATGAAGTAAAATCCTGTTCCTGTGTCGTAGCTTTCAACGACCCGTTTAAACCTTCCACTTTGCGGCAGAATAAGAATAATATTGACGAGGATCAACTCGCTTCGAGAATCCTGAGGCATAGCCTTGCCTTGGCGAATTTGGCGCCCGGATTGCATGGACGTACGTGTGAGTAAGTAATTAGTTGAGCTAGATTTAAGCAACTTTAAGCTCGTGTGAGGCATACAGAGATATGTCGGATCACGTTCGCCGTTCGAGGGCCATTTTCGAAAAGCCTAGTAGGACGATGCCATACGCATTAAGAAATAGAAGAGGCTATTGCTCTAATCGCAAATAGGTACTAGCGGAATTTTGTCTATTGCGAGACGTACCATCCCGGCTGCCTAGCGAATATTCTAGATTTAGTTCATGATATATTTTTCTATGTATTTTTTATACTTCGGCTAATATAAAAGGCGCCTTTTTTTAGCCATCCTAACAGAGTGAATGGAAAATCTGGTACAGGAAAGGTAGCCAACAAACGTACTTGTATTCTCATAATCCGCCTTTTGAATTTCATATATAGATTATGTTGCAATTGATTAAAAAGTTTTATAAAATAGATTTAATTAAGTATCGTTTTCTTGCTCGACGGTAGGACAAGCTAATAAACGCTTAGTTATAATCAAGTGACAGACACGTCCACAAACAAAAGACCAAATTAACTCTATCAGGACATATAAATAGGTTAAATATAACATTTCTTACTCAGCTGTTTCTTGGATAAAGGCGATATCTCATTTAACAGTTACATATATCTGTCTAGGGTCCTTTTGGCATTAACGGCTTAGAGTGTCCCGATTCAAAATGGAAGCCGCTAGCTCGTACTTCAGAGCTGTCCCTAACATGGTTTAGCGTGATAAGTAGTGCACTAGAGGCAACTGAGTGCAAAGTATTTTCGTGAGTGTAATTCTTTGATCTGCAACAGTGTCATTTTCGCGTCGCCTTGAACCTGTACCGTATCCCCCGAACGGTTTTAGTTAACCCAGACGACGGGATGAACGTGCTTAAAGCTCTCGTAAACTGGACTAGTTGTTCAAAGTTTTTTGGAGCTGTTCCGACCCTCCTGTCTAAGGGGCACTCACACGTTCGTACAAACACACGCCCACACACACACACACAGGTATTTAGATAAAGATGAGGATGGCATCGTAAGTGATGAAACCATACGACAGAGACGACGGTGGGCGTTAGAATATATCAGGCGAACGAAAATTCTTTGTTTTCCGCCGCCTGTGCGATTCGCACTGGCATTTGTGATTGGTTTGTAGCTCGTGGAGTGCCCCGCCCAAATGCACACCTCGAAGTGCCAGGGTACGGACCGTAAAATTAGACGCCCTGCATACAGGAGAACGGGACTTGCTAGACGCACGCTAGCATAAGGACAACCGGAAGCAGTCATGGGAGGAGCCATAATTTTGCAGCTACATTAGCGAAAGTGGGTTCTAGGCGGATTCTACCGATTTACGCTAGAAGACACAAGCACGTCCATGCCACGTATAATAACTACATAATGAGTCCGTTAACCATATGAGCTGTATCTCGATTAAAAGTAATCCAAAAAAGCGGGGAACACATACATCAAATGTGGTGTTTCTGGGTCATAATCAGATGCCAAATCTAAACTGCATTGCGAAAATCTGACGGCCGATCGTAGATAGAAAACACGCCTTCTTCCGATAAGGATTAGTACATTGCCCTTTATCAAGGCTCCTTTAGACCTGTGCTCGTATCACTCGGGCGCCTAGAATAGCTTTAATTTTCCATTACCGTTTCGATGACGCATACATTAGTGAAGCAGTTATCAGTTTGTTGGACTGACAGCATGGGCAAGATTGTAATTCATCAAAGATCGCGATCTCTGCAACGCTGGTGAAGAAACACGCACTTCTAAGCGAAGCAGCGCGTCATCACAGATATATCGAAACCTCTTTGTAGCAGTATCCCACCCCTATATTCGTGGGAGAGAGGCTTTCCTCTAACACGGAACGACCAGTTACAATGCAAGTAGAGAACAAAGAATCCAGCTACGTAGATAAACTAGTCGAACAGAATCGGCACTCTAACACACTGTGCGAAGACCTCTTGGCGACGAGTGGTCTCTCCTACACCACGTAGCATGCGAGCGCTACCTAAGTGGCTCTTTGTTGAGGATCTAGACTCGTGAAGGCAACATCGGTCTGCCAGCATTTCCGAACTCTTGCAAAGTCACCAGGAAGAGATCTTTGAAGTACTTTCTGCAAACTGAATACTACGGTTGTGGTATTCATGCTGGTTCTAGAATGAATCCATTGCCTATTCCAGTTGCGAAATCCCTCTTAGGAGCTCTGTACATTGCCATTAGCTGCGTCCTTTAGGTGGAATACATAGGCTTCGATAGTGAGATATTTTGTTTTGTCTTGCAGAACAAAAGTTAACAAGTGGCTCAGAAGTGTAAATACTGAAGAAATCTATTTTCGTTTTTAAATTGCACTAAAATTCAAAATTGTTGGGTACGACTTTGTGACGGTTAAGGATAAAGACTGTGTTTGAAGACAACCTGATTAAGTCGACATGCTTTTTTCCACTGCAACTTCCGCAACCAATCTTGGTGGTAAGTTTTTCATGGTTGATGAATACGTTTTTATCGTGCCATATATTAGATTCCTTCGAACAAGGTAATGTGTATAGATTTCACGCAAGTAAAGACTAGTACAAAATTTCTGCAAGAACTTTACAGCGTGAACTATCAGATGTAATCATTATGGCATATGAACTTGAACAAGAAAATCAAGGTAGATTCTAAATATTTGCTCCTGCATTCTACCAATTATTTAGCATGCACCCTCCTCGCTTCATATGGACATCTTTCAGACAACCAAGACTCCTCAGACCAAACTAACATTTTTTAAATTACGAATTAATTTTTCAAACCATTTCGGATACTGCACGAACATCAAATGTAATGAGGCACTTTGGCGGGGTATTAGGTTATTTAGCACAACATAGTGATAGCTTATCGACTTTTTTTTCACAAGCATAGCTCCTTTGATTTTAATTGAAAGAACTATTATCTGTTATTTAATGTTAATCTATTTGTTTTTCTGCAATGAAAGTCCATGAAGTGTCAAAAGGCAATTTTAATACCATGTGTCTATTTGAAGAAGTTGTCAAGAGTTTGAAATAACTGGCCACCTAGTGACTATATGGCCTCTTTAGTCTGAACTACCCAATATAAACACTATGACACATGCATATGAACAAAGCCTAGTGTATATGGTTAATGGTCGAAAATCTTTCGCGGTAATTCATGGATATTTTCCACCAAGATCCCTATGGTGTGAGGTTAAGCGTCGTCGAGCAATAGGCTTGGTTTAGTTCTGTCCTCTAACTTTGATTGCTTAATAGGAAGTTCGTTCGTAAATGTTGACAGTCCACTTCAACTTACGAGGACTCACGGGGTTGTAGAAGATTATAGAAGCACTACACCAGCAAAGAGGCAGTGTAGGATTTTTGTAGCTCTACAGCGGATATTCCGCTGTGACAACGGCATTCAACAGTCGATCTAACCTTCTGCGATTATCTCAGGCAGATCTGTTTCTCATCACAAGTCACCATTCAATGCGATAATAGGTACTTGATGCAACGCGTGAACAATGGGAATCAGGGGTTTCTATCTTCCCGCGTTTGATACGGAGTGTCGATGCGCGCGAGATTTTCCACCTGACTCACTCAAGTCGAAGATGTCATTCCTGAATTTTCTCGAGCGACGGCTGATAGTGTTTTCAGTAGTAGGTAGCGCACCGAATGCAAGGTTTATAAGACGCGTTACTTCCGCCGTTCTAGTTTCCAAATGAAACTCGTATTTGCGAGCTAGTCAAATACTCTAAATTGCCATGACTCACTGCAGCTAGCCTACTAAAAACCTGGGTGATCATATCCAAGCGAACGGTCTCAAATGCCGAAGACAAGTGAAAAAAGGGACGCATCCGAAAAATAAAAGTACAAATATCGCACAATGTTTTTATAATAACACTGTTTGTTATTACGAGATTAACACATTTCGTACTGAATGACCTTATAATTATGTCAAAGTTATCCTGAATATACGCAGCTCAGCAGGCACAGAACAATGGCAATTATAAGCTAAACTTATAATGAGCATTCCTAAGCTAGCCGTTCTCATAGATGTTACATCACCTTAGGATAGAGGAATCGATGCTGGCCTTCTATGGTTTCTTATTGTTTGAGAGACCGCAACTGATGCTCCATAAACAACTTCTGACACAAGTTGCATTGGATTATTTCGGTAGTACTTTATTTGATGTGAGAAACGCGCGTGATTCTCTCAACAGTATTCAATTGGATCTGAAATACGCCCGATTTAACTTGAGAAATACCCGTTTAAAAGTTACACTGACATGAATGCAATGAATCGTCTACATCAATCGAAGAAACAATAAGTTGCTATTTAAAAGTTACTTCAGACTAAGTTAAAATGTGTCCAAAGTTTCCCGGTTAATTCTCGTTTACAAAATCGAGATATTTTACACTTTTTTACTGGTTTAGCGCTTTACACGAAGAGCTAAATGGTCCTAGATAGCGTATCCTATGCGCAATCGCTTTATTCATTAAAGTTCATATAAAAATATGTGCACAATGTTAGCGGCAATTCATGCTGAGATAAGGGTATACCTTATCATTTTTGCCCCAGACCTGGCTATCAAGCACTCTAAGCAAAGGAAGAAAAAAAGCAACGTATCATTTTTCTTTGTTTCTTAATTTTTGAGTACTTCAAGTTACAGCCGACTCCGATGCAATAAGACAAATGAGAGACACTAACAGCACAGGTTCTTCAATCATAGCAACAACGATTTCCATAATTCATATATTATCGAACCAATCTTCTGATAGAGCAAAAAAAAACAAAAAACGAGAAAATATCAATCCGACTAAAAGCCGCCTCTCGTATTTAAGTCATATTCGAAAAGTAGAAGAAACTCGACGTTAAAGTTCAAAATGGTGCTTTCCGTATATAAGCCGAGGAGAAAAGGTCGCAAACATCAAGCACATTCTTAGTTCTCACGATTATAATTTTGATAAATCGTGTGCCTTATATATTCGGCTCAATACAGAGGATTTATATTTCCCTCACTGGCACTATTTAAGGACGAAATGCACAAATTGCATTTGTAGCAGTACCAGTCTCTGATGTGCATTATATATATCAGCCTGATATTAAGATGTCGCTATTTTACGAACGTGTTAATTCAAATACCGTTCTACCAAATATGACTTCGTTTTGAAGGGGATGTCGACGTAAACAATGCGCAGTCATAGGAATTCGAGCGAGGATAACCTATTATTCAGTCTCTTGACGAGCAACGAAACCTTATTACAATGCCTAACCCTGTTTTTGCCTAATATTTATGTTAGTGCCAGTTTCTTAAAGTTTACTAAAGATACAAAGAATATTTCAGTGAGACAAAATGAAAACTCTTTAATAGGGTGTAGGTTTAAAGGGCTCGAAAGTTCACCAAAACTTCGAAAAAAGCCACTTGTGAAGATTCTGGATTTTCGATGCTAACGTTAGTGGTGGTTTTATAGAGAAAAATAAGTATTGCCAATTGAGCTATTCAGAGCAGCGGTTGAGCTTGTTGGTCGTTTTGTACTCTTGTATTATTAGGACCCTTAGCCTTTTATTAATCTAATATATAATTCCTCGCATCGCGCCTATTTACAGGGCATTTTCGAGTCTACACATGCCAATGTTGCTTGACGCACAGTTACTATTCAAAAAAGGATTGCGGACCAAAGAAGGTTTATTATGAGGCCGATTCGTGAGCGATTTAGGTCCTCAATTGAAGCTGCGATCGAGGTGAAATGCATTGAATAAACGTGACTGTTTGAAATGAGACGTATATATATATATGTGTATACTTTGATTTTGAACAACCTCAGCCCTTCTTATATTAAAAGATTTCAACTGCTCATTAAGAGGCCTAACTAGCAATTAAAATTTGTGCATATAACTCACCAGAGAACGACATGACCCTGAGCGGTTCTGTAGGGAATTGCCCTTTGACGCCGACCGTGGCCCATGGAGCTCAAACGGGATCTCCATCTATCGAAATACAGCCTGCCCCAGGTCAGTGTGTTTATGACAATAAATCTTTTGACATTTTCTATTAACGAAAGTAAATATGAAAAATAATATGTTTATTATTGACCCGAAACACTAGGTAGATTGGACCACTCTTGAAAACTAAAAATCCTCTGTGTGACTTATTACATTGTTTAGAGATCAATTTATGAGTAAAAAACGGTCTCAATGTATCTCATGAAAACAACATATAATAATGACTTTCCTTAAGTGCCTATTAGCTATGCACCACTCTCCTTCACTATATATATATATATATATATATATATAGGAACAGCGAAGATATAAAGTATTTCTAGTTACTCTACTTATGAAAGTAAAGTACGACATTGGTCAATTTAGTGAAATGATTTCAGATATACACAAGTATAATGTGTGAGGTTGTCGAAAAATTATTGATGGTTTTTCTAGCTAGATGGTATGAAAGTTGCATAACATGCGAAAGTGGGTCTGTCGAGTGTATTTTGGATATTTATAAAAGATACTCCTCGTAATGGTTAATAGATTACGAAAAAAAAGTTACTAACAAAAGTAGAGAATGGCCAAAACATGACCATAATATCGCCAAAGCAAACAAATATCTATTAGTAAACAGAGATAGCTACTCGACGAATTCACGTGAAGGATTTATTCGATCGTATTTCCATCTGTAAAATTCTATATAAGCATAATGAAATTGAGCCACCTATGGAACTTGTTTACCACGGACGATGAGAAATTAACTAACTATATGCGGCAGTTACGCGAGGAAAAACGAAGTTCCCAATTCGTGGCAGAGCCCGGATTGAGGCCAAATGATGCCAATATTGGCAGGATTCCGACAGAAACGTCCATTGCGAGTTGCTGCTCCCCCCGTCTGGCAAACGATTGTTGTGGAACTCTAATGAAAGCATCTAACAGTGATACAACCGTTGGGGCAGTACTTCCCTGTATTTATTACTTGCGCTTTAACGGAGGGATGCAAAAATTACTTGTGATAATTTTTAGAATTACAGTCGCTCAATAGTGACGTAATGATAGTGCTACCAGAAAGAGATGGCTCAATTTAGCAATATTGTTTTCAACTTTTTTACACCTATATCGCTTTAAAAAAAATACTTGACGAAAAGAAAAAATGAAAGCTTATCGTTGCATGAAGAAGTGTACCACAAACATGGATACACAAGATTTTTTTAAAAATAGGTATTTAAATACATATCCTGAGAAAAAGGTTTGTTACATAACAAACCCGCAACCTTCCGTCGAGCCTATTTACTATTATTTAACTACGTCAAGTATAATAAATGCCCCACTAAGACGACCTAAAAAAATGTCGATATTTGAAACCCTCTGTCCGAAGTGGTCCAAAAATATTCATTTATATATAGAACAATGAAATCTTCCAAATAACTTCAGCTTAAAAATAATAAATAAAACGTTTCGTGTTGAAAGGTCGCAACAAAAGCGATAGCCGAATAGCTTAAAATAAATCACACAAGAATAGAGATTTATCATAGACCTAACTGAATTGGAATGGGCATGCTGAAGCTCAAGGGAACAATATCCCTTTCACTCTAGAGCATTTATTCGCGAGACAAGTAAGTGGCTTGTAGGCATCTGGAGGTTCTATTTACACATAAATCTGCTGATTTTGTTACATCATACGCTTATCTTCTGGTATTAATCTCATAGGTGGCTCAGGGTATAACCTCTTCTACAGCGCGCCGTCTGGTAGTGGTCCAACGGCAGAACAGCGTCTTGCATGTAAGTTTTCTTTATATTTTATTTATAACAAAGTGGCCTTGGTTTCTAAGTAATGATTTTGGCTAAAAGATATATTTATTTAGCTAGGAAACATTTTATGATTTTATGTCAATCTCTAGTCAATGCTCAAAATTTTAACCATTCAAGAAGTACTTTTTTGCAGCCGTTAGAAATGATCGAGAGCATCACCACCGCTTTCTATTCCCTTTAATACTAGCAGTTTTCGGTAGCCATATAATTGCTCAAATTGCCTTTTTGTTTAAGATTTAAATTACATTAACTTTAACTTTGTCATGACCTCCATCTGCATAAAAACTGTACACGGCTAGTTTATTTTACGAAGATATTGTGTCTGAAGTACGCCACTCAGCTATTGACTCCGAAACCCAGAATAATGGAAATCAGTATCCCAGAATCACGAAAAATCGATCATTTCCGACAACATAGTAGATCGAATTGAGTAAGTCAGTAGATTATCTCTTAGCATCTGACACAAAGACATCGAGCAGTGTGTCTGACTATGATGATTGACCCCGCACAGACCTCAAAGCCCTGCTCTCTTCGGTTAATTTCTACAGTCTTATTTCTGGTCGCATCGCGTTGGTCAAGCTGACCGCGAAACCGTGTGCAGAACTAGAGTAGCGTCCGAATAAATTTCTAGTCTTTTTTAGATTGACATTTAAGCCATCAAACGCTATTCTTTCTTCCATGACACGCCTGTGCACATCAACCTAGTTGTTTCAATGAAGCGCAAACTGGAAGGGATAATAGGTAACGATCAGAAAAAGAACCTTATAAAACCCTTAATAGCGTTCGCACCTTGATTCTTTACAAGGATGTGTCTCAAAAAAAAAAAATAAAGGCTTACAACACTTCATTCGCTTCATTTCGGTGATCAGCTTCGACAATGTAGTCAAAAAACTTAGCTTACTCCTTGGCTGGACCACGCTGTTATATATCTAAGGAGCACGTATCAAATCTGCGAAGTGCCTTCTCAATATTTGAGGCGTGTCGTAGCGTTCGTGTCGACAGGTAGAGATAAGTATAATGTAAGGACATATTGCTTATCTCGTCCTCCATAGGCTGATTTTAGACCCCTTCGAATGCTTGCTCGCATAGAACATCCACGATGGCCTGTAACAAGGAAGAATAGTTCTACTTTTGCCAACCACGCCGTAAAAATATTCTCTGTGTTTGCTATAATTTATTGGTTGTATTTGATCGGGTTCACTGCACTTTATTATTCCATATGCTTAAACAACTGAGTTTTCGAACTTCTGTGTGTTTCGAGTTTTATGCCTAAGACTGATATTTTCGTGTTCACCTCGTCGGTATTTTTATTCGTCCAGCCCATGTCCTTCCTAAGAAGTCTTGGCTTGATCCGCCAGTTTTTCGGGATTCAGCTAAACTTACCCGCTGCGCTTCGCGCAGATCTAGCATAGCAGTTCCGATGTTTGGCCTCGACAACTTTTGCTTTGTAGGAGTAATTACTTAGAAATTTTGCATCAAACTATAGATGAACATCGTTGAACTTACAAAAAGCCTATTATCATCAGGTGTGGCCCCTCACACAATATGGGACGCCAGTCCCCTTGGTAAAAAGTGAGTACTACAGTTTTAAGGCGAGTTTAGAAAAGATGCAATATTCCTGATAATAGTTGATATTCTACACTACTTCTTTCGATAGGTGGACTCATAATTGGTCGTATAATTTTACGATGCATGTTTGCGTATGATAATAATTAACAGCGCTTTTTATTCAGAATTGCTTATGCCGAGCACAGGTGATTTCATGTCTAAGTAAATAATCTTTACGCACCCGTAAATGTTTTTGTATTCAAGCTAACTATGCTTATTAGAATCTACTATTAGAAGAAATAGGTTCCTAAGCAAAAACATGAACTCTACTTCATGTTCAGAGGCTGCACCCGACGGTTCCCTGATACTACTAAAAATGTGTTATTGTATCTTCCAATGTGCTTATGTTATCATAATCGTTTTTATCTGCATTTATATATATATTTTTTGAATTTTTTGTTTAATAATAGAACATTTGAGTCTTCGAAATAGAAAAAATACTAAATAATTTAAAAAAGTTTCAATATGATATTGGTTTTTAGTATCAAGACTTGTGTCGGCTAGTTCAGGGGGACTAAGCAACAACCCTACGGGAACTCCGAGTGCACGTTCACGAAAACGTCGAATTCTTTTTAGTCAAGTTCAGGTATAACTAATAAATTGAGAGAATGTTACTGATCAGTCAACTGTTTTAATTCAATTAGAGGCAAATGATGGTTGAATTTATATAATACCATGATAAAGCATATATTAATATCTTTTAGATGTAAATAGCTTTTCGCCTATCAGTGCTAGCCTTTTGTTTAAATAAGCTAAATGATCTTGCATCACATTTGAATGTGCTACCAAAGATCCTCGAATTGGAACGACGGTTTCGCCAACAGCGATACCTCTCAGCACAGGAACGAGAACAGCTAGCCAGTATCATACAACTCACGCCGACTCAGGTTTGTACTTTTTCTTTATGTCATTATTATAGGCGCCTCCTATTATCCTATTGTCAATATTATTATGTCCTATTATCAATAGGAAATCTACTGAAAACGCCTAAGGTTCTGAAAACCAATTTTTTACACCATAAAATGAGCAGCGATTACCAGACGACACCGATAGTAGAATATTTTTCCAGAAAAATTAATTTTTTCTAGTTGTAACTATCCTGTATATTCTAGGCAGGTTGATTTAAGAAAAGCAATTTAGAGATTAACAGAGCTGTAGGGTAATGAAAATGTTACTAAATGCAAGCTAAAATCCAGAGTCAAATTTTATCTAGCAAAAGCTAAATGAGCTTTGATCATATTTTATTTCAGGTAAAAATCTGGTTTCAAAATCATCGCTATAAATGCAAGAGGATGGCTCGCGAAAAAATACTTAATATTGGCGGCCATAGTGACTCCAACACTCCTATGTCGCCGGTTTCTGCCACAGGATTACATCCACTGCCAGGAGCTTTGTCAACTCCTTTGCCGTATAATACGTCAGGTTCGAACTTATGTTAATAATACTGAAACGTTTTCGAGAGCCGTTATCGTTGTACTTCAATATGCATGATAGCACCCACTAGACATTCGATGAAATATACCTGTAGTACATAAGAATTCACGACTGTAAATAGAGACTTATTTACAATTGAATTTATCGTAATCCCTTATAATGAACCTTTTGCAATTTGTAAACGAAACGACTCCCAGTCTTAAAAATTCGAGAACAGCTCTTTATAGTTATGTTTTACGCCTTCTTGTGTTGGAAATCATATGTCCGTGGTCAATATCACAAACTTTAACGCCCTCTTGAGATTTGTATAAATGACGTTAACAGGACATAGTAGGCAATCAAAATTTGGTAGCTTTTTTTTTTTTTTTTTTTTTTACTAAAGCTTGCTCAGTGGAAACACTTCCCCTAAAATGTTGCGAACGATCATTTCTGAACTGTACAACTTAAAGACATGATTCTTGCTACTAAAAATACAGTTATGCAGTATCTGGTAATCCCACTACACTATGCCAGTTAAAGAAAGCCGGAGAAAAGCGCTGTTGTGTATCAGATTGTTATCTGGGTAATATTAAATATCCTATTGTCAAAGCCGTACTAGTTCGTCCTTCGAGAAATTTATCTAAATATAAATAACATTGCGTACTACCGAACGGGTAGTTGAGAATCTACTTTTATAAATTGCTTCATACAGTGGAAGGTCATTTTGACACAAAGTGCATACTGTTCCGTGTGTACAATCCAAAACACGATTCTTACCAAACGCTTCTTTGTCTATAGGTCAGCCTAGCGTGCTAGAGGAGAAAAAGTCTTTGGCGCTGATGCCCGTTTTGTTCAAAGATTTGCCACATTCAGGACAACAGTCAAAAGACAACACTGTTCTGAGGGATTCCAGAGATCCCAGAACTATCAGCGCTGCACCGTATGCTAGGACACCTATAACTGCACCACACGGTATGAAACAGCAGTGCATGTGCATAAAATCCAATCTCTCGTATTTTAATTACAAAATAACCCAAACATAGATTTATTTAATGTGACAAGTTTCTAAACAGTATTTGATTATTTGGAATTAAATATGATCAATGGATTAAGGTGTGTAAAAGACGTGTGTTTTATAAAAAGAGCATCCTATCTTGAATCCAGATCGAACCTCAACTTGCGTAATTTTGGCAACAAGGCGTAATTTTTTTTTTTTTGAACGGTTGAAATATTCATCCTTTGGTAAAAACAGTCAGGTCTTTGATCTATTCTTCTTGCCTTCAACAGTGGTCTGTGGGGCTTGTCTTTCTCCAAAAGTTTGAAGCTACCGAAGGATCACAACGCATTGTTTTCGAAAAGGTGTCCCAACATAATCGTGATGCTATCAGTTTCAGGTTTAGCGGATCACTCTGGAGGACTTCAATTTTATCCTCGAAGCGTGTTCTCTACAGGAGGTTCTAGCGCACTACCAAACAAAGAACCCCCAAATGCCTCTGCTGGACCAATGTTCGGTCATCATAAACACTGGTGATATGGAGCGCTATACTCGCTGACGAATTCTGAGCTTCGATTTTCAATTGCACGTTCAGTTACGTCAATTTCGGGCCACGATGTTATACAAAAGAGTTGACTTAACCAAAAGCATTATCCTCTTTAAAACGGCTTTGTGACGAAAATATTGCCACTATTACAGTTTATACAACTAGAAGATTTGATGGAATTTTTTTTTTCGTCGGGCATGTTGTTTGTCTAGTGAAAACCAACAAGGGAAATAACTAGTTTGTGAGATGAATCTAAAATACACAGGAACTTCGCGCATCTAAATCTTCATATCATATTGTGTCGCAAACAAGTGTGCCCAATACCTGTGGCAGAAAATACCGTATAACGGATTGAAGGCGTACATTAGTTTCTATAAAAGTGACATTTCGCAAAGTTAAGGGTGTTCCTAGTCGCAAACGGACGAAGTAAGTGCATCGTACTGCGTTGATTTGAACGTTCATTTGCCATTCGCTGGTTGGAACTCACACAAATTTCTACTGCAGAGTGCTGACTAATAACCTGCTACAGCAGCGCCATGTTTTGCTAATTACTAATAAATATTCCTCCGTAATAACCTGAAAAATATTGCTCGATAACGTTCCAAAGTCCAAAGTAATGGTACCTAACACTTTTTCAGAAATAAAACGTCTATTCGATTAAAAACATATTGAAAATTTGACAAAAATTTAAGGCTATAACATGTACATATTCTGAAGTATTGCACCTAAACGAGCCACAATCGTATTTTATTAACTTTCTAATTCTATCAAAATTTTTGGTTAGATAGACTTCTGTGTTCAGAATGATGACATTGTTAAATCTGTTAATGTTAAGTTAATGTGGAAGTAAGTATTTCACTTACTTTATGTATGCGTTTTAAAGCTACTGTTGAATAATTTATTGAGAAAAAGTAAAGATGTTCGATGAAAAAAAAATTATGCTCGCTTAAATATAGCTACCACTACGTATATTGTTAGGTAAAATGCTAAAATATCACGTTTTATCCATCTTTATTCACACGGTCTTGTGTACGACATCCCATGTTCACCTCTGATACATTCGTTTTTTTAAAAAATCCATGTAAAAACAGCAGGTCGACACATCCATATTAATAAGAACTTGGACATCATGTCTCGACGGCACAGGAAGTGCTTCGGAATGTTCGTATAAACACACACACTGTACATCAATTGTCAATCTGCCTGTGCTATTTACATGTCTATGTACACTTAATTACTGATCATTACATTATTGGGGAAAGCTGCATTTGAATAGCGAAAATTTTTCGAGAATGATAGAAATGCGCGTGCCGCATAAAAAAGTGCGATCAATGTACGCGTATAAAAAAAAAAAACCCTTATTTCGATATAAACACTATCTATAATCCGACAAAAAAAAAAAAAAAAAACTATCGGTATATGAAACTGGACGTCATTTATACTCAGCTGAACTTAAAATACCGTTGTTATACCATTAGCGTCAGATAATCAGTTTTCTGAAAATGTACTGCTCTGAAAGACGCCCTTTTGTAGAGCACGAAACCGTCGCTAAATTACGATGGGTTAATACCTTAGTAAGTACGTAATTTTGTAACGAAAATTCATGTTTTGTTCTTTTCGTAAATGTGTAGAAATTTATAATTAATTTCAGATTTTGCGGCGCGTAACACTACACAGATATCATCAAATTTGTATGACCGATTGGTCAGGTCCGCGAATACCTTAAAAAGTTTCGCTCGCAGAGTTGTTACTTGTTTTTGAATGTTTTATTCAAAAAAACGGCCTATCCAATATCGTAGGCACTCAACACATTAATGGCTCGAAAAATATCAGTGTCCTAAAAACGCTGAACATTATACTACGTAGGAAGTAAGAAATACAAGTTATCTTTCAGAATATTTACGTGTGTTTCCGTTGAAATAGAAATACATAAATCGGTCTAGCTCACCGTCTTTCGCGTAAACCTCAGGACATTTTATTTGTAATAAATATGCGTCCCTTCTCCTTTCAACTGCGATGTAAAAATGTGTTATCTTCTGCAAGTAACGAGCGTGACTAGATAAATTCATGGCCGCCGCCATTTCCGCAAGCTTATTTTCAGAGGGAGCCTTATGTTAACATGATGAGTAACTGTGGCTTTCCTTGTAAAATATTCTGTCCCCTATAGTCAACAGCATTAGGGCAAAGTTGCATTGTTATAAGAGTAAGTAAAGCGGTGACGGCGGACAGGGGTGACAGTTGCGTGAGTGTAAAGGGCAATAGAATCAACCGAACGCGTTCATGTCCGGACAGGACGATATTATGTTCACACAAAAACGAATATAATAACAAACTCGAATTTCTTTGATGCTGATGTTTCGGGTAGAGCGTGTCGCTATCGATTACGACACTGTATCTGTAGTTTTTTTTTTTTTTGTTTTCCATTTACAGGTTTGTAGGGCGAAGTTAGTTAATAGAACTCGACATGCTGTGCCGTGTGTCCACAAGTTAGCGTGTGCGCTGTGAATCACCTAATCCGTTTCTTGTATAAGTCGTCAGGGGGCGGCATCCGAGTCAGGCTTAGCCAGCTCAGATTGATAGTGTATACTCAGATGTAACTACCTAACTGGTTGTAAAAGTTGGCAAGTGTTCGAACAACTTGAGGCAACGTTAATCTCTCGCCGGGACAAGCAACCCAACACCGCTCCATAACCTCGAACCTGAAACGAGACACAGAAGTATTTGGTAGTTAATAACTAAAAAAAAAAAAGAACAAAAAAACAAAAAGATAAGGAGTCAATATCGTGGGATACACTCGTAAAAGTCATTTGCTAATGCAGCTATTATAGCGAACATCGATTAGGTCTTCCTTAAAGATTAAGATGAGACTAGTCTCCTGTTAACTTTCGCACCATTTAATTTCGAGGCATTATTGTAACTCTACTATGTTGTGTCGTTTCTTTATTGATTAGTGAACAATTTGGTACCAGGTACGTAGAGGACAAGAGTGTATAAACAGATAATATAGAAGGTAACCATAATATTAGTAATTATTATTGTAGATAGTAGAATTATCAAAAGTAACAATTGTCGTCTCTCTAATTGGCAATGAGATGCTTACAATTCGTCTGGACAATTGACAGGCTGAGCCAATCGATATCCACTGTTGAGGTAGTTCACCATCTCGAATGAGTCGATTTCCGCAAAGGGCTGTTGGCCGAGGGTGAGGAGCTCCCAAAGGGTGACTCCAAACATCCAGAGGTCGGACGCCGGTGTAAATTCTCGAATGTTTAATGATTCAATAGCTAGCCAAGCTACTGGCCGGTTTTCTCCATCGCCCAGGCAGTGATAATCATCTGGAAACAGGTCCCGTGACAGAGAATTATCCGCCAGCTTGACATGTAACCGCTCATCTAGCAGACAGTTGCGTGCAGCCACATCTTTATGGAGGAAGAATCTTCGGTGAAGGTACATGAGGCCTTCGGCGATCTGCACGCCCATATCAACGAGATCCTGCGTTGTGAGGCAATGGTGCCCACATTCCGTTTGTGAGAACTTGCTTCGCCGAAGAAACTGTTTCAAGTTTCCCTCTGCCATAGCTGGGTATATAAGAGCGGGTTGCCCTTCGAGATTGAGGCATGTCCCGAATACCGTAAGGACATTAGCATGGTTCATTCCGTAGAGCATCATGCCTTCCTGCATGAACATTTCAATCTGTCCGGCACTTGCCTGCTCCTTGACTGTTTTCACAAAAACAGGCTGTACATCTACAGCAGGAAACGTGCTCAGATGTGCGTAGTACACCCGGCCGAACGCACCTTCATTTAACAGCTCCACTAGCGTTAGACATGCTGAATCGACTGCGAGCTCATTGAGCTGTTCAGACAGCAAAGAGCTTCTGGACGCTGATATATCTTGTATTGTACTGTATTGCCCCGCTGAACTGTTCAAAGTGCCGACTGATTTAAGTGTCAGATGGCTCACAGCGGGCGGGGGCACCGGACTAGGTGCGAGAGGTGGACTGGCTTTACGGAAGGACGAATACGAGGCCACTGTCGAAGCCACTGGGCTGCCCACACGAAGCAGCCGCTGTCCCTGTTGCGGTGTAAGGTTCGATGACGTAATTACGCCATATCCTCCATTTTGGGTTTTTATCGTCGAACTCGCTGTTGTCCATTCATGGAAGTATTTATCGGCAGCTGCCTGAATAATGATATTGCCCTGTGTAGCCTGACGCATTTTCTTCGTCTTAACATAACAAACGGTCGTCGCAAGCATAAAGGCCATTGCCACGAATACCGCTGCTCCGCCCACTGCCAAAATCATCGGATTTCGGTCTCCCGATACCTGGACGGGCGTCGTGGCCGCATCTGAAAACATTTACCGAGAAATAACGATACACACACATGAATTACACGTAGATGAAGACATGTTCAAATTAATATAAACCATAGTTTCGTATACGGAATACCAATGTTTCTCTTTTTATGCTGTGCTTTTGCTTTACAAACAGTAGGTTATTCGTAGTAGTCCTTGAGCCGGTCAGGTGGCGTTGGGGGTTCGACGCCACCGTATACTAATACTTACCATTGGTCTTATATTATCAGCCAATGTGCAGTTATTATCATCCCCATTATCTACGCACCGACTGTGGGGCGATACCTAGTCGTAAATGTTATCCTGTCTAGCTGCAACCCAAGGTCCGAACAGACACTTGACAATGGCCTCGTTGCTCAAAAATTGCATTGCCATGTCTTGAGCAATATAACATGAAAGATACGGTGTCGTTTTCGGCCTGTATTAGGGTTTTGCCGCCTATGGTGTTTTATTTCCAAGCAGAGATTTTTTATTCGGACACACGTAAAAGCTGTAGGAGAACATAGATCTAAAGTAGTACTCGATAAAAAAATATCAACTGTTTAATTAAACAGAACGAGTTCTCCCCTCCTTGTTATCCTTTTTGATATCGTTGTCGTTGTTGCAAAAACGTGCTCATTCGTGTAATTCGATGGGAGTCGAGCACCAGTTTTTGTTTACCGAAGCAACGGGTAGAAAGAGCTGTGATCCGTCAAACAGGTCTGCCCAGAGTATTCCAGGAGGCGATCGTCTGAATGTTTAAATATTACTCATTTTGATATACGCTTTGTTTATCTGGATGAAACATTCTCTCGGATCGTGTTTACCCTGGGAGATTATTCGTGTGCTATGCTGCACTGACACTCAGCTGTAGCCCGTTGATTCATGGAAGTCATCAGAGCGAATGCGTATTTGCCCGCTATTTGTTTTTCTGTCTATTAGTCACTGCTCGAAATAGTGTGTTTTTAAACAGAGCAATAACAACCAATAGCTAACAGTCGAAAACGACAACTAAGTATGAGCTACATGAAAGTGTTTAACATTGTGTTTTCAATTAGTGTTGTCGATGGTATCTTTGGTCGTCCGAACTTGTTTGGCGATCAATAGAAGTAATATGCAAATATGGTAGTTACTTGTCAACTAGAAGGACGATTTAACTCGTGGACATACTTCCAACAAGCGTTCGACAACTAATTACGGTTAGATTAAGTAATTATAATGGCGGGGTAACTTGACTTAGCTTTGCATCGGCTTTATCTGCTCATTGTGAGTATATAGACTCATTAGGAACTTGTCACTCACGATTGTACATGGTACGGACGGGAAAACATTGGCACGCTATTCTAGCTCTATTATGATCACAATTATAATGTTAGATTAACTAAACTGATCTGGCATAAGAAAATACGGCTTGTAGTTACATACCCATAATCATGGTAGTGTTAGCGGAGTTTTTCCTGCTGGACGACAACAACACCGTTTTGTCAGATATTGAGTTTCCGCCTTTTCCAAGAATCAGTACCGTATTATTATCTTCGACCTCTGCGTCTTCACTGTCTTCCTCCATTTCATCGATATTTTCATCGTCATCGTCATCGACGGCTTGCGAAGGCTCAGTCGGGACCATTGTTATAACTTTTTCAATGAAACGTTCGTCTGTTGAAGCAATTTATAGAGCAATCTTTACAACGAGAGCATAGCGACTCTTTTCATCGTTTTGCCTCTAATGTCTGTGCACTGTTGCTGAATATAACAATCGTTCATACGGACGTATAAATACAACATTAGTCTATGGTGTAGTTTTTTTCATACATATACCTACTTTCCGACGCATCCTATATAACTCTTCTTAGATTTATAACCGTTTACAGTTAGGGTAAAAATGACACATTTTTGGTTAGCTTATAGAGAAAACGATATCATAATACATAATAAAATGCTGCATTTTACCTTTAAGGCAGACTTTTTTCCGGGGGATTTTTACGACCGTAATGCGACTGGGGTCTCCAGCACTGCTGACATTTACACTGATTGTAACTTTTACCTCTGCAGACTCGCGTCCCGTACACGGAAGACTGACTACAAACGTTGTTGGCGTTGCTGGCAGCTGACCTAAAAGGCATGATACGAAGACATTGTCGTGTACGATTCAGATTCAAATTTACTAAACATAGCCATAGTATATTGACTTAGTTATTTTCTATTGGAAACAGAAGTATTCATTCATGATGTATAACTTTGAAAACTTTAATGCATAGATAATCCTTGTGTATCCTCTTCCTCAAGTGCGACAGTAAGGCGTACTCTTGATTTCATATTCCTCCAAAAATCTGTACCGTATTTTCACCGGTTAAATAATACTATTATTCTTTATTATACCAGAAAATTTGCAATACATTTCGTGCGTAAAGTTACCAATGACTATGGGATGATTGAAGTCACCACACGTTCTTTTCATATAGAAAAACAACGGCGTTTAAAGAAGACCTGCTCGTGTGGTGTATAATTTTGTACTTTCTAATTATTTGGGTTATTACTGAGTATATCAGTTAGAGTGTCTTATAATTTGAAAAAAAAAGACATATTTCGATATTTAGTAAAAGAAAACGATTGTCCCAATTCCGACCTATAGTCGCGGGGTTTTGCCAAAATTTTTTGGTGGAAACTACAAGCATATTTGGCAATATGGGGACGGGCGTCAAATCAAGGCGTCAGCGTTGCCTAACAAGCGGGTTAATAGATCTGTTTAGTAATTCAGGGGCAATATACTTAAGTAAGTTTTCAACAAGTGTATGATCTTTTGGCTTCATGTGTATTCTTTATTCAGCAATATACCTCGAGATGGGATGTCCAATTTCGGCGGGTTCATTGCTTCCGGCCTATCCACTTGAATTTCAATTTTATAATTCAGTGTTTGCTGTTGTGACTTGAGGTTTTGCCAGCTGAACTCCACTGTATTGCCTTTCACAGGGACGCTAAATCGTAGCGCATACTCGTTCATTGCGCCGTCCCTAACATAGAATATATCCACATTGATACCTGCAATATAAACATACGTAGTAGAATTAGGACTCTTTTTTTTATTTTTCTATTTAGTAATTTTTCTTTAATTGTGTTAGTTTAATCGGTTTGATCATCAAACGTCGCCTTTCATCTGTCTGCTCATACTAGTCCACACAAAGCGAACATGTTTTGTGTTGGACGATTAGTGTACAGATCAAACGTCGTAGCTGGGTCGCTAGCGTTGGAATGTACAATCTTGGCTAAACATCAAACAACTTTAGTGCTTCATACCTCCATTTGGACACAGGAATGTTGCAGACCTGGCGTTCATTTACCAAGACAGGCTTTTAGCTCGTTCGCAACGATACACCTCGTACCAGCGTGAATAACGTCCTCTTTTGTCAGAACTAGCACAGCCCGCAAAGCTCTACGCACACGTCCGACGGTAACGATTTCTCAGGTCTTAAACCCGGTGGCAAGTGATCAAATACAATTCAAACATAGGCTCCTTTTTTTCCAGCCTTTCTTGACTTGGAGTTAAGCTCACTGCTGTCCAATGAGCCTCGTCTACCCATAGCTTCCGCAAATGGGGCGACCAGCAAAGACCAACGAGACTTTACAAGCGACCCCCTAGAGGAATAGCCATTATATAGTATTGCGCCGTGCGGAAGGAGCAGTAGAACAGGCAAATAACTTGGCCATACGCCAGTCTGCGATGTAAGACCGCAGCACCGGTGGGCATGTCCCACCGTCGCCGCCCATTATCCATGGCACAACGCCACAGTGTTGGAGGTTCTCCTCCTGTCCTGCCTTTCCTCTCTATCCTTCTCTAGCACAGTTCTACGCTAGCAAAAGGGGAGCACTAGCAGCGCTCGTCTTTGACCCCCTGGTCGGTTATACGCGAGTCGTGACGGCGCTGGTAGTGGTCTCTTTTTCATGCTCGTGTAACAATACTCTCTTCACTGCGCTACTTCTCTCCGCTGTGCAATGCCTGAAGCATTGCCTCGTTTCCCATTTCGGCAGTCGCCTTATGGCCCCTGCGGGCAGTCCCGGTCAGTCTCGTCGGACCCCATTGTATATAGGTGGCAGAACGGATCGCATAAGGTGGGGGCAGGCCAATGTGGCCTGTGGCTCTTCATCTCGATCATTGCAGTTTCCATCCTGTTTGACCTCCTGATAACAACACCGACAAAGCAGCAATACACGAGTAGCTATGATACACAAGCAAGGCATGGTGCAGGCGAACAACCTACGCCAACTAGCCGAGATCTGAGGCCCCCTGACGACCGGCAATTCTTTATCCGGAGCCCAATTGCACTCGTCCCCTAAAAAACATGTACATCACAATGTTCCATTTGTTGCAGCACGCAATAATATAGCCGGAGTAAGTGCAACGAAAGAAAAAACGAGCTTATCCTGCACTGCACATTAGGCATAACACCATCATATACGAACGGACGGACGAGCGTGAAACCTGGTGGTACTGATGGAGGCTCACATCCAACGTTCAGTCTAGTCGCAAACAGACCGATTTCGACAGGACACAGGCGAGGCCCGCCCATGTTACTGCTGGTGCCTATTCCTTGGCCTGCTCCATGCCTCTCCCACTTCGTCCACAGCCACGAAGAACTGCCTTTCAATTGAAGTTATACTTGCTGCAATGTCGCTGACTACAATAGAATCCCACTCTTCACGTAAGCATCGTCGACAGGTCAAGCGAACCGCTTTTTCACTTGTCTCACCTTGTTGACTCTACGACAAGACTCTTTGAAGAGCATATTTCATGTAAGCTTCTCGGGCCCACGTCTGTGGTTCCGCGGAACTAACAGGGACTTTTGTTAGATATCTAGCTATTATGCCATCTTACTATTCTCAAAGGCCTTACGATGCAAAAGTGGGGATGCAGCGCTAAGGGCTGGATCGGTAAAGTGGTGAAGTGTGAAATTGAGGCCAGGGGAGCGAATCAGAGGCGGGTAGTATAGGGCAAAAGTGACAGCAGAGATACTGTGCACCGTACCGCGCTTCTAGAGGGAGAAGAGCGTTGAGAGCCCATTTCGACAGAGAGAGCAGAGGAGAACGTTCAATGAAAGCGCATTCGTTGAGGGGTTTGACAAGTCGGGCCTTGGCTGTGTGTGAGTGAGAACGCGTCGTTGTTGGAAGCTTGGTTGTATATATAGACACGGTGGTCGCAATAGCCTGCCCCCTCGTTGCTTCAGATGTTCCGAAGATGAAGGTGTCGCGATCAGCTGAACACATAGCTCAATAACATCGATGTTCTGTGCGGCGATGTTACTTTGCAGTGCGACGCTGTCCTTCAATATACTCGTTTCCGTTACAAAGATAACCACATGGTTCAGTTTACAGCCAAAATCTAGCCCACTTTTGAACACACCTATCCTAAGAACTATACTAGCCCTAGTTATGTTTCATACGTATCTGTGTTAACCACAGAACGCCGCAAGTGAAAACCATGGGTGTCTGACAAGTACATTGAAGCCGGTCTAGAGTCGATATGAAATATGGAACGAACTCCATCGTTTGAAAATGGGATATCAGCGCCTGGCTGTACTGCATCGCTAGTGTAGTTCGCCACTACTCGCCAGTTTAGATTTTCATTTGGTGGTCGATGTTACCACTAAAATTTAGGGTCCAAGGCTATGCTGAGTAGAACCACCTTTTTTAGAAGGTACGGGCTGCTCCTGCCCGTTAAGATACCGTATGAAAGCACAGATTGCTGATCTTATATTTGTATGCTTATACTATACATAATTAATAGGGGCGGTATGATGATTCCGGACATACGAAAAATAAGAATACGGCAGCACTGGCAGATACGAGCTGAAGTCGATGTAGAGAACTCTTGGAGAGGCAGCGGCTAGGCAGTACCGAATACACTTCGTCAATGTCACACTTGTATGATGATCGCATCCACCATTAGTAGGGGACGCCGCACGGGAACCATATCAGTAGCTTCCGTCAATAAGAGATTCAAGGAGTTGTGACCAAGCTACCACCTCGCACGCATTTCCACCTTCAAAAGAACCTTGTGTTGCCGTCGTATTTTGCCGTTCCCTTTCTGTTTTCTCTTTTCAGAGGGAAAGAGAGAGAACAATACGTTGATCATATCAAAGCGATAACTTCACGTAACGCATGTCACTGTATAGCGGTAGTGACGTTTTCCTGAGCCCAATAATGCTCGTTTGGCCCAATCCAATGAACTGGGCTTACTGCGAAATGTACACAAACAACTGGCCTCTGCACTCCTACACTCTTTTTTTCTAAAAGGAGCTCGCCTGACACCACTATGATGAAGAACGCCTATGAGTGGTACGTATTTGTTCGATACGTGACATAATGGCACTTCGGCGAGGTATGTTTTTAGTTGGCATCTGAGTTACCTAAATTAAATGGTTCCAATCTAAGAAAGGATTATTGGCGCAATTATGCTGACTTATTTCAAACGATGCCAAGTATATATATATATATATATATATGTATATAGCATTACGAATTATACGTATATATATACGTATAGCATTACGAAGGTAATATTCATGCAATACGAATTTCCTGTTAAAAGAACAAGCCTTTCAGAATTATCGGACAAGCCCTTTATTCCATATGTGCTGTTGAGGTATATATATAGTTTTGTTCGGCATACGTCGGAATAGCTTCGTTGTGCTGTGTTCGTTAAAGCATCCTTGTCTTGCAATATCCTTGGAAGCCGCATCGACTGCGGTCCAGGAGGATAACGCCTTACATGTTAGTTATTATGGTCCCCATCATTATTAATATTATTATAATTTTGTGACGACTGAACTTACACATTATGACTTTAGAGGCTCATAATGACTAAGAAGTTATATTAATTATTAAGCTTAAGGAATATGTTTCTGTCTTTCAAACTGCGGCCAAAATACAAGATAGAACTCACCTAATATAGAAGTTTTTCTCATTGAAATGCACCTAAGTTGCTGTAGGCGACACGTCGATAGACGTGTACTTGATCTAAACTCTCAGCACTAAAGACAAACGTTTGGATCTCATTAATACTTTAGCCAAGCTCTTTTTACTTCATAGAGATCAATCATTGTGACTCACTATCTCATGTAAATATATTTGAATGTCTGAAAGCTTCTGCGATAACATACATAGAGAGGACGTTGGCAATTCTTGCTATGAATAGCATGATCCCTTCAAGCGTCCTCCTATAGGTGGGCAATAAACCATTGACTAGCGGTGAATCTATTAATTTCGTTCCTATCTAGCTGTATTGATTTCATTTGCCCTTTGGGGCATATTCTATCGCAATTAAGGATCGGTTCGACTGTGCAATGCTTTTCTGCACAGTTCAGTCAAAGTCATTCAAAACACGACTGGCTCTCTTCATTTCTATTGCTTTCGGCGTTGTTGGCTCATATCACACGCCAAAGGAGACGTTTCCTTATCGCTGTTCAACACTCAACAGACCGACAAAAACGAGAGAAGCGACTTGTCTCCGTTCTCCAACAGTCCCATGCTCAGACGCCATCGCTGTCTTCACTGCTCCTGCTGAAGAAAGACTAATATTGGGGCGTTTTTCTTCCAAGGCGTTGCTCCCTTATGAGTCCCCGGGCGAGCAGCGATCTCCTTTCCATGCAAGCGACATTCGCTTGTGATATCAATAACAAAACATCACTAAAGAGAGAGGGGGGTTTGTAGCATGGCAATGCGGCTGGCGTGTTCAATGCCTGCGCTCGTATCTCGAGCTTCTCGGCGCTTGCTGCAGACTAGACAGACTGACACCTCCAGCTCATGCAGATCGCAAGTTCCGTTAACACTAGACCGTTCTTACTTTGTTCCCTGTTGACGCGCTTTCTTTTGCCCATTCGGTGCGTGCAGCTGCCGGCCTCCTCGAGACTGCAAGAGCTTTGCGCATAGTCCAGCCATCACTGCCGCGGCAACGAGCCGTCCGAAAAAAGGATTCAATGACAAGGCAAGGGCAGAATTATGTGCTACGAACTTGACTTGGGCTGAGTTCGCTTGGAAGGAGAAAA